CGGCGCATCATTTAAATTTTAGGTGTGCCACCTGGGCAGCGCTGGTTACATACAATGCGATGACAAAGTGTGCACTTGATCTTAGCAGACAACCGATATGGCCCATATCATTTGTCATGATAAATTGCGAGGAGATCAAAGACGGCGTTGAAACAGCGCACACAAGCAAACATGAAGAAACTGTATTTAACGCTGATGCTCTATCGAATCTAATACAAATATTACGAATGCAATATTCAATGAATATTCGAAAGCTTCGACGGAGATTCGAAGCTTTCAGCTATTCATTTTAAGTGAGTTTATTCTGGTCAAGTTGTAGTGAGTGATGCATAGTAGATAGAGGATTATATGCTTGATGGTTGAGTGTGGCTATTATTTCTACTGCAAAGCTATATGTATCTACATTGTCACTTGTTCTCTGCAGATCTACTTCCTCATGGTCGTGGTGTCATTCTACAAGCAGTTGGCCTTTATCAGTCAGAACCCAGGACAAGTGGGCATGACCCCAGGTGCTGTAATGGTCCCCAGTGGTTATGTTGCACAGCCAGGTTACCCTGCAGCTCCACCGCAGTACCCACCACAGTACCCGCAGCAGTACCCACCACAGTACCCACAGCAGTACCCACCACCCGGACAAGATAAGATGAACATGGTGTGATGGGCAACACTAAGCAATGGCAGTGATGACTGGTGATGTAGTGCCAGTTGCATAGTTAGTTGCTGCCAGACCGCGCAACTGCTTGCGGACATTTTGCAGTACTGAGCTTGTACCTGCTGCACATTTGATGTGCTCTCTGGCTCTGCTTTGTTGACGTTCGATGGCTTCCTTAAGAATCTCATTTTGACCACACAATTATTTGTAGCGAAAAATTTTCATCTGCTGTAGTTCTTTAAAAATGGCTGTTGAAAATTCGGACAGGAGACTTGGCAAAATCTAGGTGGGCAGAGACTTCTTCAATTCAGGGCCAGTTTTCACTAATATAACTGTATTGCAAAACTCAATTTTAGCATCTGAAATATTTGTTTCGGTAATATGCTTACACCCGATGAAAAAAAAATTGTGCCAATGGGGCAGAGAAACTTGCCAATTCCATATAATTGAAACATAAGTCCATTTGAATCTTCTACTGTTGCTGTATCTTTCTTTCCTGTTATGGCATGCTGTGCAGCTGAGCCCGAATTTTCCACCATGTAGACTACAAGTGCAGCTTTTCTCTTGACACTGGAAAGTTAGATTTTCTTTTATCTCCGGGGTGCAGATGACCTTGGCTGTGACTCATTCAGTCATTTATAAGTGTAGTGTTGCATTGACTGAAATATGAATATGCACTTTGTTTTTTAGTTATTTTCCTGCAGTGTTCATTTGCAGCAGCTATTTTCCTGCAGTGTTCATTTGCAGCAGCTGAGCTGCTCATTATATTTTCTTCTCCTGACACATTTGACCTGCCCTTGCATTTGGCATTGCAGATCTTTATACCTTTTCTCATATTTCATACTATTATTCAACATCGATAGCTCTTAACTTCGATGCAATGTACTTTGTTCATTGATTATTTTGAGTGCAGCAGTTGACAACTTATGTCATACTTATGTCGATCGTGAAATGTATTTGCATGTACTCTAACTCGGCACTTTTTGTGCTTGTTCCTTTGCACAGTTTTCTAGTCTTTCAAAGAGTTTTTGCAATTCTTGTACTTCTTTGGCCTCAAGATTTTTATAATCATTGGAGTATATTGGATGCTCTATTTACAGACTTAACGTGCCTTGCAATGTGCAGCTGACAGCATATTAATATTGCAGCATATTGATACCATGGTGAATGTTTACTGTTATGCTTTTTCTGTAGCATTTGCTGACATGTAAAACTGTTGAAGCATGTTACATTTTCTGTCAATGTCCTAGTCCCTGTAAACGAATTTGTTAGTTGTTTTATCAGTGTCATGAAGATATTAATGTCACTTCTATTTTTGTTTTAAATTTTATCAGTGTTGTCGTGAAGGTGTTCATGTAATTTTTATTTTTGTTTTGAATTGCTTTCTCTGCAACCTTTCAGACCCTTCTTCAGTGCATTTCTTTTTTCAGTCTTGCAGATGCCACAATGCATTTTTGTTAAACACAGCGTGTGTTTTGTTTGCATTTATTTGATACATTTAATAAAGAGAATGTTTCTGAAGTGTTTTGTCTTTGAAGGAAAGTTATTTGGCTTGCTCTTAGTATAACACCCAAATACTTTTTTTTGTAATGCAAATTTACACACTGTGACATTGACAGACTAGCTGGAGAGGAGGCATATTGTAATGGCATGTGCACTGCATTTGCACTGAGCCTGACCACTCTGTATATTAATATGGCAATCACCTCAGCGTGGCTGCATTAGAAATGGATATGGTATTGACTGCCAGGTAGTTAACAATACTGTTGGGCTAGTTCGTTAGGTGGTTAAATGACATGGTTGAAGGTTACAAACAAGAAGAAATGCAATACTTAAAAGAAAAGTTGTAATATTTCCTCTCCCTCCATTTTTTTCTTTTAGATTGGGAGCGTCTTATGAGCTTGATCTGGTGGCGTCCACACTCCACTTGTGGGTGTGGGTGCCCTCTCCCTTTCTTCTCTCCTACACTCCCCCTCCCTCCTCACAATGTTCTCTCTTCTCTCCTACACTCCCCCTCTCTCCTCCCTCCCTCCTCACAGCGTCTGCTGACGTGTTTCTTGATTGAAAATATTGTCTGCTGTTATTGCACAAGCAGTCACTGGCCGCCCCATACATAAATATATACTAGGTAATGGATCTTGTAGTGCTAGTGCGAGATTTCTCCTCGCACTAGCACTACATTTAGCAATTAGCAGCAATTACATTTAAAAAAAATAACATTTTGCCTATGCTTTCGCGTGCGTATGGCGTACTGCTGCAGGCATGTCTTGTCAAGGCAACTAGTGGCTTTCGATGTGAATTAGCTTCTCTTCTGTGGCTTAGGCAGTAACTATTTTGCCGAGATAATGACATATTGATAATATCTTTTGGATCCCATTTGACCAACTTTTGACGCTGCTGAAAATAAATGAGCTCTGGCATTCTCATTGCACGCACCTAGACTGAATACTAAATGCGTGACTGATCGCCACGCGTTCATAGCAGTACCTTGACTTGCCAACATTTTTGAACCATTGGAAGTGCTCTCGTCAGCTACAAGCTTCCTTACTGAAACTTTCTAGCAAAGGCAGTTATGATGTAGTATAGTATAGTATAGTTAAACAAGTGTTATGGTGGAAATGTTTTATGCTTTATGGTGAATTGTCTGTAACTCCCCCCCCCCCCCCCCCGCCTCAATGCTCTTCGGAGCCAGTAGGGTATTATGAATAAATAAATAAAAATAAAAGTGACGACGGCTTTGCTGCACCACATACAATGTGTTAAATAATGAACAGTAAAAGCTATGTAATTCTTAAAGTTATATAGAAAGGCAGTAGTTGTTAGACAAAACAAAAAAAGCACATCAGACAAGTTTAGAGCTGGTTATCTCCGAGAATCAGACTGGGTGAGAAGGCGTAAATATAATTTGTATATTTCGTGTAGACGTTGTCATCCTTGTGTTGATTTAGTGTATAGTGTAATGCAGTACAACACTGTATAGGTAAGGAGGGCAGTATAGATTGTCAAAGGCAAGCACCATCCGCGAAAGCCCGCAAAGTGGAGAAGCGCTGATGAAATTAAAACATACCATCTACACAACTATGGCGTAATGCTACCACTGAACTGGGTGGTTTCACGATCAGGTTTTACAGTGGATCAGGCTTTCACTGTATTACCTAATAAAGAAAATTCGGTCCCTGGCGTAAGAGTGTTTGAAGGTTAACGTGGGTCTACAAGGTACAGATGCTATAACTTGGAAGAGCTTACTTGAGTGTACTAACGCACTCATCACAAGGGTCACAATGGCCGCACCTAGGCAAGGCACACACTTACAGAGGGGTGCACATTTGGGCAAGTTGGTGATCATACATCTTGTGAGACTTATTTGTGACACTATTGTTTTCCTTTTAGCACCTTGAAATTCCATAAATTGTTCAGACTCACTGAAATCAGACAATGCTGCAGTGAGAAGCAGATATTGCGCTGTCGGTGATATTGTGTAAAAATAATTCTTGCGTTGCACTCTAAGCAGATCTCTAGAGGTGATTATCATGGACACTTTAAACGGTCAGCTAGACGGACTACTGTGCGGAGGTTTGATCGTCGGCATCGGCCAGGGCATGGACATAGTGATGCACAGCGTTGTGATGCACAGCGTTGGGCAGGCAGACGAGCTAAAAGGTAAGGACAAAAAAATAAACTATCAGAGCACATATAACAATTATAAGCAGCTCTGGTGAAGACATTGATGCGGATGTTTGTCTTAACCGATGTTGAATATTGTTTAGATTAGATCGTTCTCCTGCATGGAAAACAGATTTAGAGTTTTTTTATGCAAGTAAAGGCAGATATTTTTAGAGAAAGCATGCGTGACAGTTTCATGGCACCTATAAATATTATATTGTGCACAGCAGCAAATTCCTTCATTGTGAAAAACTATACATAAGCCTTCCCAAATGCCAGTACAAAAGCCAGAGACCACGTAAGAGCACACTGCTGATTCGGGCCCGGTAAACATGCTTCCTTAGATTGCATATTTTGGCTGAAGGAACAAGCCACAATGGGGAAGAGGGGGGTAGTCATTCTTTGTTTGGGAAAAGGAAGAAATTTGATTGTGCATCCCGCAACTGTCTCACACTAAGGAGGACACCTCAGCAGTAGTGCACTGAGGAGGAAAATGGGAGTAAAATAAAAGAGTGCAGAGAAGCAAGGGAGGGTTGATTAAAAATTATCACAGCATATCCAGGAGGTGAATGATGACGAATGAAGCGAAGCGGATGGATGCATCAACCGAGGCACGGGCGGATGAATGCACGGGCGTGTAGATGCACGGACGGACTGACGGACACTTTGCCCCACTCATCATCATTCGCTCCATGGATATGGTGTGACACCTTTTTATTGGCATGCAATGCATGCAACTGGCTACTATGATTACGACGTCCCCGCAGTAAAGGAGCTTCGCCCCTAAAAGAAAGAGAGAAAAAGAAAAGGAGAAAGAATTACAAGTGCTCTCGGAGCCTTGCCACATTAATAAGGTCGACCAGTGTTGACAAGACATATTTAACGTCATTGCACCAGTAGCGATTGAAAAGCAGATGCTCGGATGTTGTCCTTGGGAGGCCAAGCTTAGCGTAGACTACCAGGAGATTGCTTCTGGCCCCGCTGAAAACAGGACAATGGAGCAGGAGATCGATAATTCAGAGTTTCTGTATTTTCACGGTCAACACAGGAACCAATGCCTTGTCCGATGAGCCGATGAGTGCGTCTCGAGGCGTGAGGGAGTCCTTTAAGTGGGAGTGGTTGGGGCCACTTGCCGGTCACTGTGTTCGTATATTGGGGCTTTACTTTGCACCATTTTTGTCTCTGAAACGCCATGAGTTCGTGACTTATAGTTTGTGCGCTATTGCAGATTGAAAGAATCCTGCCAGATTTCGAGTGCCACACCTCTGGATGCAAGCTCCTTGACCCAACTACAAACCAGCCGTCCATGTCAAAGGTGAGTTGACATGAGGTGTGGTTGTGGCCAGGTGATCACTGATACTTTCTTCATGTCTTAATCCTCCATAAATTTATAGGCATGTTTCCGTTTTAAAGCCGTCTTCCTTTTTATTTTAAGCGAATTTTAAGAGGCATTTCACTGAGCACAGAAAACTATATTTGCTTCTTCACGTTCTGGCAAAACGTTCAAGTATGAACATATTGTTCATCGTGAAGAGCATTCGAATCGGACTTCATCACTGATTTGGAGCTGAAACTTCATTAACTAAGTGTTTTGAACACGCCGAATGATAATTCTCTAAACAGCTAATAATCCCAGATATATGACACGTATACGATGAACAAAAAAAAAAGGAAAAGAATGTACGTTTACGTAGAAATGTAACACTCGTCGCCCAAAAGTGAACTTTTCTCATCTCCTCAGGAAAGTTTTAAGTAAAAGTATGCAAAGATCAGTAAAGAAGTTTTAACTTTAGAGAGGCGAACAGGTCAATCGAAGCAGCTTGAAATCTAGCTCTCCCAACGTGAGAAAACAAACTGCAGAATAATTGCAATTTTCTTGTGCTGTTTTTATATGCATTTTTTCCAAGTACAACATGCCGATAATCTTGCGGGAAGGAGCAATTGAGGAAGCGGAGCCACCATGTGGCTTAATCTAGGAGTTTGACATCGGCAGGAGTGCTTTGTCAATAAATCGGGTCTCTGTGAATATAGGAGCTCAAAAAACTATTTTGCAAGTCGAACTGGTAGTACTATAGGGAGTGGGGGAGGCAAAATATCTTGACGTCGGCACATTTTTCGTTCCCCCCCCCCCCCAAAAAAAATTATTGTATTTTTTTATTTCGCTTGTTTCTACACGACCTTGACTCTGAATGTTGCCGGAATATTGCCCGTCTCCTGCGCACTGAATATCAACTTTTTTCGAACTTGAACCTTTAACGTAGTGATTAGTTCTTTCGCAAGGCCGTGTAATAATTATACGAGGGCTCACGGTTGTGTCTGATCTCGGGAAGGAAGGAAAGTGTTGGGCAGTCCATCGCCCAACACCGTCCTCGTCGGGCTCGGTGACCGGAACGGCGAGATGCAAACCGATTAGCCGGAGCCACCGCCTTAGTCAGGTCACGCTGCTGCGTTGTTCAGGTTCGCGTCACCAGCCAATCAGGCCATGGCAGAGTCTGGTGCCCTTGCCCGATAGATGAAAAGTTAGCTCCGTCGGTATGTAATCTGTGAGGGGGGCGTAAAAAGTGTGACACTGTCGACTAACATGTAGTACTTTCTTTCCTTGATTGCATGCAAACGCTTGCCATTGAGAACAAAGATAGCCTGTAGCTTTACAAGGCATGGCCCAACTTTCTTTTATGTGAATAATGAAACATTAGGTGTGACCAAATGTCGTAGATTTATTACTTGTCTTTATGGCAAGTGTTATAAGTGTCCATATTGCATGGACATTTCTTTTTTTTCCAGATGGTCGCTTATTATGTAGGTTCTTTTTTTTCTTTTTATATGCTATTCTGTACGCTGTCAAACTGGGCCATCAAAATATGTGAAACTGTCACATTTTCAAACACTCAGAGAGATTGTAGCTGCCATGTAAGTCAATCAGAGTAGAGAAAACGGCGCATTGGACATGGCGGATTTCTGCGTCTGTTCCAAAAGCATTTGAAAATTTTCCAGCTAACTTGTTAACAAAGCTGTCATGTAGCCGTCGAAAAATATTTTCCTATGAAATTTCTCACAACTTCGTCCCGATTACACAGCCTCCCATTACACTGTATACTTCACCAGTGCAGAAATCATCCGGTTTGATGACAAGGGCCTGGCAACGTTACAGTTTCCTGTTTCGCATTCAAACCAAAATTTTTTCTATATACCAGCTCCTAGTCTATCATTATCTAAAAACATTCCTGTCAGCTGTGTCGAAGAAGGAAAACACTAATAACTTTGAATCTCGAAATTTATGCCGCATGGTTACATTAAAGTTTTGAGCCTTAGTGGACAAAGTGCTTCTTGAAGAACGCTTTAACTGCTTCAAATGTCTTTGAATGCTGAGCCTGGTGACACTTCATTGTCACAACCCTCAAAAACAATCCAGGACATAGTTGGGGTAACATAACTTGCAATTTTGTTAAAAGATGTGTCTTGAAGTTTGAACAGACCACTAAAGTTTACTGCTTTATAACGATGCGTTATAGAGCAGGCAGGCAGTACTGCCACATTTAGCTCTTTTGCTAAGCACACCTCTATTTCATGGTATGCACTGGGGAATTGCAGTTGAAAACAAGTAACGGCTGCTTAGAAGTGCACAATGACACTTTATTCTGCTGATGTATAAAACCAATGTATGAAGCTATTCAATCGCCTGCAGTGCTTGGTCAAGTGCAATCCTTTTGTCTCAGGTAGGAAAGAAAATAAGAGCGCACACTATTGAGTGAATATTCATTCAAAGTGTTCTCAACATTCGGTCTGGGCTACCCAAATTAGGTTTTTATTTTTGGAGGACAGTAGGTTAAAGATGACAAGTGCTTATAATTTCTCGGACAGCACATTTTAAGACAGCACCATACGTGTGACGTTTGCATAATGCTCGTTTTTGCACTACGTCGTAACGAAGCCAGTGTGTGATGCAGTGTTGTGATCAGTTATTAATATTGGAAAGCGATTGAAATTAGTACACTCAGTCTGTGATGACTGGAGTGCACCGTGACACCAGAAAGACAACTTGTGGCGACTTTCACAATTAAGCCATCACACTTCAGTGTTGTATTATTTACAAACATGGTCACACGCCGAATAGCCTTGAGCCTTGAATTGATCAAACCTTCAGTAGATTGAGCATTAAGCCTTGAGTAGGTGTACGATAATGGCTAAACAAACCTGCCATGGTGGTCTAATAGCTAAAGCACTCGGCTGTCTACCCGCAGGTCGAGGGATCGAGTCCCGGCCGCGGCAGCCGCATTTTGGATGGAGGCGAAAATGCTTGAAGTTCGTGTGCTTAGATTTAGGTTCACGTTTAAGAGACCAAGGTGGTCAAAATTCTTGGACCACATCACTACGGTGTCTCTCAATATCATATGGTGGTTTGGGGGCATTAAACCTCAAGAAGTATTATTAGTAATGGCTGAAAAAAAATTGTCAAAGAAAGATTCTTTACACAACGTGTAATACAATACATCATTGTCTACAGCTCTCACGGTGGCTACTTGTTTTGCTTCCAAGACAGAGGCGACAGTTTTTTTCTAATTAATTCTTATTATTTTGAAAAATGCATTAATTACATCCTGGCACACAACAAGTTTGTTGAAGGGTCACGAACGATTCTAACAGCACAAGAAATATGCAGTTTAATATACATGAAACAAGTGTATCAATAATTTCTCACTCAAGTAAGACTGTGATCCACTCATGTATACTCACCTCAGTAAGAGATCTTGCCTGTAGTTTTAAGTCCTGCTTTTTCATCCTAGATCTGGACATGGTGAACAGCTTCGTGAGTTGGGACATCCTGACTGCCGGAAGTCAGGTCAACAGTGAAGGAAACGACGAGGCCGCCAGCGGTCATCATGAGCTTGATGGAAGCGGACGCTGGACTTGGTTGACCGGTGGACTTCAGTGGCATGCTGTGGCCCTTGCCTCGAAACACCCGTTTGCACTCCTGTTTACGCGGACCTCTCGTGAACCGTTTCTCGGGTCGAACGGGGAACAATACAGCATCTATGAACACTCATACGAAGATATTGCATCTAGTCTGTATTCACTCCGAAGTGCGTGTATGTTGCCGCACAGAACTCTAAGTCACACTTGGGTAAATACCGAGTCCAGCAGGAAATGTTTCAACAAACTGACGTCCATATCTTCGAGCGCCATTTGCGGTAAACCACGTGGCGTGCTTGTCGTAGAGTGCTGGTATTATTATTTAGGCTTATTGTGTTTTAACAGCGAGTTATGCTTCTATACAGCGATGTCGGTTGTGCTCCACTATTTCCCTGCCTACAGATTGACGTGGGACCACGTCACACAGCCGCTTCGCAAGCATCGCTAAGATAAACTCTATCCTCTTGCTGCGCAATTCCTTAATGTGTGAATGCACACATTTGGAATCGCAGGCTTCAGAAAAAGAATAACTAAAGAGCACTGTGATGAAGCACTGCGCTGACAGTGGTAGAGATCACTTGCAATCAAACTGAATTATGTTAGAAGCTGTTTGTACAGTACTCGTAAAACAGGCAAGACAAGTGTCTGATTTACCTCGTTTCTGCGCCATCTCCTTTGCAAAGCGTCAGCCAATACCCATACTGTGAGCCTTCGATGGCACGTGATCTTATGCGGGCTTTGGCTGACACGCAGTTGAAAGTGATAGAGGTACGATTTTATAGACACGTCATGTCATAATGTGTTGGCGACATGATGTGAGCTGTGATACCACAGAATATACCGAAACTCCTCTCTACTTGCGGCAAAGGTAAATAATTTGAAAACCGAGAAAAAGTCCGTGTCACATTGTATAAGTTTGAACGGTGTGTTTGAACCATGTTGTGTTTTAATCACGATGATCTTGACAATAATTGTGAAGGCTTTGTTCACTTCAAATGGAGATATTCAGCCAATGTAATTGAGCGACGATTCTGTGCTCTCCATAAGGTGTCCGTTGCAATGTTTTTTTAATAAAAGAAATATCGCAATGATATTGCGTGGTGTATATGAGGAAAATCCACAGGAAATGTGCTCGTAAAACGAAGAACCGAATACGCGAATATTTGTGTCAAGATCAAGGTTGAGGTCACAATGTTATTGTTTCATGGCCTATTGTATGTATTAAAGTTATTTACTTTCTCTTGTTCAAAATGCATGTGTTTGAAAGATTATGACATACATGTTTGTTGCTGTTGCCGTTATTCTTGTACCCTTGTGCCATTGAAGGTTTCATTTGTTTGTGGGAGCTCCACGACGAGCAATTCTGTGACAGAAAAGGAAGATGTTTTTAATGAGCCTATCTCTGGGTACTCATTACACAGGTAACAAATGACCCAGATTTGAAGCATTCTATTTAGCGATGGCTTGGGCATTTGAAACCTCATTGCAAAATGTTCACGTGGAAAAGTGCGCTATGAAGCTACCCAAGGTTGACACTCTCTTAATCGGTCCAGTTATTGGTGAGCCTTGTTACAGCTAGTGAGTTCTGCGGAATTCCCCAAGGTAGCGAAGGCTTATAAAAAAGAGAAATGACAGCCACAAATTCGTAGCATAAACCCACAAGGATTTCTCAGAACAAAGATCATCTAGTTAAAGGAAAATTCGTCCTGGTTTCCTGATCAGGACAAATTTTTCTTTAACTAGAACAATTTCGTCTATGTACTCTTATTTTTTTGTTAATGTGGGAGAGAGAGAGAAAAACGAAGGAGAGAGGCAGGGAGGTTATTCAAGCTAGGACATCGGTCATAGGGCTACCTTACTGAACCAGAAATCCATGGCAGAAAAATGGCTGACACGGTAAAATATCTCTACTAAAAGAAGGTCGGCCTGACTTTTGTAACTCAGCCCAGTGGCTGAGACATGACATTGGCGTGCGGCACCATGAGTTCGAAACTCGGCACAGCCTCAAAGTTTTTCTTTATTTTGTATGTCTGTTTATCTTTAGAGCATATATAAGGTCGAGAGTACACACGTCCTGCAAGCCTGGGTCTTTAGCCTAGTGGGTAAGACACTCGCCTTCGGAGCGTGGAGCTCTAGGCTCGAAACTCAGTGCAGCTTTGCAAACTTTTTTTTATTTGATACACACGTGAATTTCTTCATGCCGCATTCACAAGGTTCAGGAAAAGTGATGCTGGGCATCACTATTTCTGAACCTTATTCATTTAGCCCACTGGGTAAGGCACCCGCCTTTGGAGCGTGAGCCAGTAGTTACGAAACTCAACGCAGCCTGCTAGTTTTATCTTATTTTCTATATATGTTTCTTCAGTGCGATTTGTATTATGCGACAAAGAGCTGGATAGATGGACAGACTAAAGCACTGCACGGGACCGGCCTGGCCCGTCTAAAGCGTTTTCGGGCGGGCCTGGGGCGGGCCAGGGCTCGAAAGCGCGGGCCTGGGCCTGGCTTGAAAATACGAGCCGGGACCGGGCCTGGTGAAGCTGCGGGAGCAATAAAGATTTCGTTTTTTTTTTATTTGTAGTTGACACGTATGGTACAATCTGTAAGTAAACAAAGATATTCGTTGCTCGCGTCCTTGATTGCGCCTATAAAGGTGTAGGTCGAATTGTATGTGGCTATTCTTCTGGTCAAATTGTAAGTCGTGAATCACCTTCAAAGCTTCATATTAATTTTCGCTTGGGCAGTGAAGGAATTAAGGGGATATAACTTGTCACAGACATCGCAAGCTTGTAACTGTCCTGACGAGGCGCACACCTGAAGCATCTTTAGGTGCAGGCGCGTGGAATTCACGCCATCCGGAAAATGAAGGCCCTAGCGCCTTCGAGATTTGATAACTCCCCATGCGTGAGCAGAAATAAGAGGCACGCGTGGGAAGAAGGGCGTAAGAATAAGAGAGTAAAGACGGCCTTCGTTACTAGGCGACACTTGCCCAGGCGGAGCATGCGCAGACCGCGGCCTACACATAAGAAACCTCATACAAGGAACTGCTGCGTGTGTAGCGTGAAACCCGTGTCACCATCTACTGAAAAAGAGAGAAAAAAAAAAGAGAAAGCTTTGCAGGCTGTGTCGTAGCTCGGCAGAGCGCGCTGATGCTTTTATTGTGTTGGTTACTGGCGTTCTATAGTTCGTAATTTGTCTCCTCTACACGAGGCGCTATGAATGCAGCTGTATTGCGAGACAAGCTCGCTGCCGGCGAGCTTAAGCTCGTCTCCAAGCAAGCTAAGAAAAGCCAGGTTTGGAAACAATTCCTGCAAGTTGTCGACGTGCACACCTTATCACCAGTGGGACATGTGCAGTGCAAAAGATGCAAAGCTTTCTTCGCATATGATGGTGAAAAGACAGAAACGTCGCATCTGAACCGCCACGAGTGCAAGGCTGCAGGTGACACGTGCACTGCCATTTCTTCGTTCTTCACTGAGAATAAACCCCAGGCTTCATCTACCGTTAAGGGGAATCTGACGACAACTTGCGTGAAGTGGTGCGCTGAAAATATGCGGCCATTTGACGTTGTTTGCGATGATGGATTCCTCATTGTTGCTGACGAACTGACTGCTATCCGTGCCAAGTACGGGAGCATATCCGCGAGGACTGTGATTCCGCATCTTACGACGGTGTCTCGCAGGGTGTCCGAAGTTGCAAACGAACTCCAAGAAGTGGTGATGCCTGAGATTCAGTCAGCGTTGAAGGAAGGTCGCTGCTCCATGACACTTGACATGTGGAGCGACGACCACAAGAAAATTGCCTATATCACTGCAAAGGCGCATTACGTAAGTGTGAAAAGGGAACTGAGGGGCCTTGTTCTGTTCACTAATGACTCCCCCCCCCCCCCCGAGATAAAAACGGGAGAGAACATCCTTAAGGATTTTGTACGAAGGAGCGCTAAGTTGAGGATTGATGAAAGCATGTGTAGCAATCTGGTGTTCGGGACAGACCAGGGTGCCAACGTAATTAGCGCGCTGCGTCCGTATGCGAGGATGAACTGCTGTGCGCACGTCCTGAACACCGTTCTTCGGAACGCCTTTGATGACAGTTACCTCGCTCAGGAACTTCCCGATCTTTTGGAACAACTGCAAAAAGTTAAAGCTGTCGTGACTTTTTTTAAAACAGAGCAGACTGACGTGCCAGCTACCACACGGTGTGTGCCAGGAGATGTGCACGCGGTGGAATTCAAAGCTCGCCCTGATCAAGTCCGTGCTCAGTACGATGCGATAGAGAACCTTCTAGATTCAAGGGGAAATCTGCTCTTGGAAGACATCACGAAGACTTTGTTGATAGAGGTAGCCGAATTCTCGGAGCCCTTCAAAGAGGCCAGCGAAAAGATTGAGCAGGATAAAGTGATAACGCTGCCCCTTGTACTGATGTACTACACAAAACTGAAGAAGCACCTTACTGCTTATTCGACAGACTCACGAGAAGTGTGCCAGCTGAAGTCGAGGACACTAGAATTCCTTCAAATAAAACTGCCCATAGAAAAGCTTCACAAAGTGACAACGTTCTTGTGGCCGCCTTTCCGCCACCTCCGCGTTCTTGATGAGCAGGAAAGGATAAGTGTTCATGACAGAGTACGCGAATTGTTAATCGATGTACATCTGCGTTTGCCACTAGAAGAAACGAGCACAGATCATCCTGATTATGAACCCCCAGCAAAGCGTACATCTCTTGACGAATTTAAGGAGTGGCGGGATGCTGCGGAAACTCAATTAGCTGACAGTGAGCTTGACAGTTACCTTCAGGACAGTGACTCATGTGAAAACATTGAATAACTGCTTGAATGGTGCGAAGCCCATCGTAGGAAATACCATGGGCTTTCAATTCTTGCAAAAGAAGTACTTTGCATCCTATTTGCGAGCGCCAGCAGTGAACGCAATTTTAGAGCAGCTGGGTACGTACTCCAAGACAGGAAGACCTGCTTGAAGCCGGAGAGCCTGGACAACTTGCTGTTTTTGCACAAGAACATTTAGATTGTTGCCTTTTTTCTGGCCTTTTCGCACTCGTATTCCTGTGGCATCGTTTGAAAGTGCGCTCTTTTTGTGTCATTGAGTGTTACTTTGAGCGTATTTTATATCTTTATTTCACAAAGAAGGGTGAAGCAGTTTATCTCAAATAGCATCAAGCATGGCGTGTAGCAGCTTGATTATATAATTATATTGTAAATGGTGATTACATTTCCGTGATGGCATTAGAATACGAAAAATATACATTTCATCTGCTTTTGGTGGCTGTTCACAATATATAACGTTACAGTTTTTTATTGTGCTGCAAGAAATTATTAATCAGGATCCTCTTTAAAAAATTATGTAAATGATGTTTCTAACGCGAGTGTAGAAAAGAGAATCAACGAAAATGTCCCGGGTTTGATTCTATCCGCTTTTTCATGTTAGCTGTACACTTTTCAATAGATTTTGTTGCTATGTTTTAATTTCCCTATACTGCTATTTCTAACGACTTGCCATGTGACATATAAGCAACATTTCATCGATATTCCTTGCTCCCAAACCACGATGTGATTACGAGGCACGCTGTTGTGGAGACCGGACCAATTGCGACCACCTGGAGTTCTTTAACGTGCACCTAAAGATAAGTACACGGGTGTTCTTGCGTTTCTTCTCGTCAAAATGCGGCCACCGTGGCCGCGGTAATCGCACCCACGTCCTACTATTTACCAGCAAGACAGCTTAACCACTGAGTAATCACCGCGGGCAAAGCAACATTTCAACGCATGTGCACACTGAATTTTCCCTCTGATTCTCCGCTGCAAACCACAAAGCATCATTAATAATCATAGTCAACAACTAATATTCTCTAGTGGGCCCGGGCCGGGCCTAGTCATTAGTTTAGCAAGTTTACCAATGAACACCCCAGCCTGGGCCGGGCCCGGGTTTGGAACCCCGGGCTCAGAACCTCGTGCCCGGGCCGAGCTCGGGCTAGGGTTGGTCATGTACGGCCAGGCCCGGGCCCGGCCTGGGCTGGGCTCGGGCTTCATAAAGCGGGTCTGGGCTGAGCTCGGGGCGAAAAATCAGGCGCGTGCAGTGCTCTAGGACAGACACCTTAAATAATCGAGTCGGCATCTATGCCGTTGACGTATATAAGCTCCGCTCACAGTGTCCTTTTCGAGTAGTCTAAGTATATCAAGCCATCAATCAATCTTTCTTAGTCAATAAAAACGGTAATACAGTGCAGGTAAATATGCAGGA